AAAGGTGCACCCATACATTGTGGGTGGGACTGAAAATTTGTACAACCACTCTGGAAAGCAGTATGGAAATTCCTCAGAAAACTTGGAATGAGACCACCATTTGACCAAGTTATCCCACTCCTTGGCTTATACCCAAAGGACTTAAAGTAGTGACATAGCCACATCAATGTTTACAGCAGCTCAATTCACAATAGCTAAGCTATGGAATCAACCTAGGTGCCCTTCAATAGATGAATGAAATAAAGAAAGTATGGTACATATACACAGTGGAATATTACTCAGCCATAAAGAAGAATGAAATAATGGCATTTGCAGGTAAACAGATGGAACTGGAGACTATCATGCTAAGTGAAATAAGCCATTCTCAAAAAACCAAAAGCCACCTGTTCTCTCTGATAGGCACATGCTGACTCACAATAGGTGGGCTGGAGAGAGGAATGGAAGTTCACTGGATTGGACAGAGGGAAGTGATAGGAAGGGAGCTGAGATGGGAATGGAAAAGACAGTATAATGAATTGGACATAACTTTCTTATGTTCATATATGAATACATGACGAGTATAACTCCACCTCATGTGCAACCATAAGAATAGGAAGTTATACTACATGTATGTAGATATATCAACATAATTCTACTATAATGTATAACTAAAAAGAACAAAATTTTTTAAAAGATCAGAAGGTACAGATCAATAGTAAATCATGTGTGAGGTTTTGGGTTCAATCCCTAGCACTGCAATAAAATAAAATTTTTAAAAGAAAGAACTGTTTTATGGTGATAGAAATTACAATACTGACTGTCTTAGAGAGGTGGGTATTGACTGAGAGAGACAGGAGGAACATTGTAGAGTGATGAAAATGTTCTATATCTTATTGTACTGGTGATACATGGGTATACACAATTGTCAAAACTTCTTGATTGCTTAAAATGTTTTTATTCATTATATGCCGATTATATTTCAATTAAACTGAGATTAGTCTCTTTCAAAAAAAAATCAAGCCCAGAAAGCAGGCTCTCCTTCCAAAAGAGACTGAAAACTACCATCATATCTTGAACTAGGTTAGTGAAAATTTGATAGAATGCTTAAAAGCAGGATTCTACCTTCAGACTGCCTGGGGTTGAATTCTGATTTTACAGTCAGTTGTGTGACGTTTGTGAATCACGTGATGACTCTGTGTTCCAGAAAAATTGGGATAATGGCACCTAGCTCACATGGCTGTGGTCAGGAATAAGTTGACTTATATAGATTCTTACAACAGTGCTAACAGGGGTAAATTTTAATTTATAATAGGTGCTATAATAGATATAGTATAGACCCACCACATTATTATTATCATTTCTACTTTTCCCAAGCAAAAGACTTGGGACAATGGCCTTAAGCACATGGTATGCCGTGCTTCTCAAGACAGTTTTTTAAATACTAAGCTAAAATATGCCTGATCCATATTCTGTAAGAGATGAATTCAGTGGCTTTCAAAATCTGCTTCCTAAAGCCCAAGAGTTCTAGAAAAATGCACTAGGAAGATGTGGGGAATGGGTGGTGGGGAGCATGTTGGATGAGGGGAGGGAAGCCCACAACTTCAAAATCCAGGGCTCCATTTTCTATCTTGCAGTTTCTTTTCTATCTGCAGAATGAGTATTATGCTAAAAAAAAAATCAGTTTTGATTACTTTATAATTCTTTAGGAATTTATGAGATCTGTTCATTGAACCAAAGCAGAAGAAAGTATATGAATGAAAGCAACAAATCCTCAATCTGAGAAAACTAAGTATTGGGGAAAAAAACGTATGGACTTACCACAGGGCACCACGCGGTAACAAAGATTTCTTGACATCTCTGAAATAGAGATAAGGTGAAACTTCTGTTGAAAGTATTTTATCTCAATTCTTGGGCTCAGCCTATTCATGAGGAGCACAGACTGGCACAATGATAACCAAGCGTGTGGACCAACAAGAAATATTATGATAGGACTATTACATGCTTACAATCAGAAGACAACTAAAACAGATCATTATTTAAGCATTATATACTGTAGGAGGTTTCTTAGTGGTTAGTGATTTCTGAAAATAACATCTCCCTTCCAAAGCAAGTGTCACACCAAAATTCTATACTTAAGATCATTGTATTGCTATTTAGAATTAGATGTGATCTCAAAAGCACTTGGCTTGACTGAATTGAATAATGCATTTAAAATGGTAAATAAAGTCAACATGTTCTGCCCGCACAGAAAACCTGTATTAATAAATGTGTCAGTAGGGTATGTTTGTGGCTTAGATTCATCAAATGTTAGTCCTCATTTTAAACTTTATGAAAGTGAAGGCAACACTATAAATATATATATGAATAAAAAGAAAAAAATTAGCATCTGCTTATCTGTAATTTTGATAATAATTAATATGGAAAGCACGGTCTGACTCTCTTTATAGGTCTCACATATGCTGTGAGTTGAAACTATACAATGATTTTTCTCTCCAATTAAGTCTCCCTTCCACCACTCAAAACTGTCACTCATGCCAGTGTGTGTGTGTGTGTGTGTGTGTGTGTGTGTGTGTGTGTGTGTGTGAAAGTATAATATTTTTAGTGTCACTGTTAAAATATATTTGCTTGGAGCAACATCATCTGTTAACACTCCAGAATGGATTAGTTTATCAGATTACTTTCAGAGAGTTGGGTCCTGGGTATTGACACCAGGGGCTAGCAACAATTTCATGAAGGACAGAAATCAGAAAGGTCTACAGAATGAAGGGGGAAGGTATCTCCACATGGGGGCCAGAGTAGGGAATGTTGGTAGCCAGGAGCCCCTCATAAGCTGAGGAAAGGACAAGATGTTGACCAAAGAAGACCCTGGGGAGAAGAAATGCAGAGGACAAACCATGCCCTCTCATGAGCCAAGCACATAATATATCTTCAGCAGATAAGGACTGAATCAAATTATCTTTATTATAGGGTGATTTTGATAAAAGAAAATAAAGTCAGGATTTAATGTTAATATTTTTAATTAGTAAAAATATTTTGTATGGCTTATTTTCTAAAATCAAGTTTCTCAAGGAAACATGATTTTCTGATCTAAATTCTTTTTAGTAACATGTTTTTACACCAGAAGAATTATTTTTAAAAGAAAACACTTAACATATAAAAGCATAAACAATTATTCCTTTAATAAGATGTTTCCTATTATAGCCACTGAATAACACATCTGCTGCAAGGATTTTTTTTTTCTCAATACCCATGTGCATAGCTCTGATTAGAGGAGGTAAAAGATGCACGTCTCCTTTCAATAGTGAATTAGACCCAATAGGGAGAAAGGGGATATTTTAATCTGGCAGATTTTATTATGAAAGCTGTAATAACCCTTATTTTTTTTAAAGAAAATACTTTTTAAAATATAATTCTTTGCTTCACTCTCTGTGTTATTGATTTCGGAAAAAAAATACCTGAAGAGCATTTATCTCTAGTAGTAATATTATGATTACTCCACAAACATTTTATATCAACATCACCTAAAGAATAAATTTTAACAAGCATTCATTCCATAATTTTTCTTCCATCTAGGTTTTGCTTACATCTGCTGTTTTCAAAATAAGTCCCCGAATGTTGCAGTATATTTATAAAGTAAGACCAGAAGGTAACGATCAACCCAGGGCCTTGGTTTCAACCTTCACTCTATGGTCCACTTCTCTTCCTGTTCAGATGCACACCTTTTTAAAGATCATAATTTCAAAGTGAACTTTAAGAATGAGGCTCTTTGCTTTTAAATTTAATTTTAAAAAGATCTTAGTACCACATATGTTACAATATTTGAATTAACCTTTTTCTGTTCATTTTCAGGGCTACAGCAACACACAGGGGCCAGGTTATTTTCAAAGATGCATTAGCCCAGCAGTTGTGTGAACAAGGAGGTAAGAGTTGTGTTTGACTTGTCTGTGTTGGTTGTGTCCAAATTACTTATGATAGATCTTATATTCTATGACTAAGTAAGCATTTTATTACTATTACTTGATAAACTGCCTTAAAATTGAATTATTAACCAGTTTACATTCCTAATAATTATTTATTAAGTGACTGTTGATAAAGGTCTCTAGCCTCTGAGAAAAACCAAGTATGAGCAAAATAAATCAAAAGAAAGTTTATACTATTTTCATAGTTTTTCTAATGAACTAATGTTGGTTATCCTAGAAATACATACCTTAGTCGTAATTTTAGAACTTAAAAAAAAATGTATTCTGCTTAATTTACCATTTAAAATTGTCAACTTTGCTGAAATTTTTTTCTGATTATTACTTTTTTATGTAGTATTTATGGACTTCCTTCAACTGTGGACTATTAAGAATCATGAGTAGATACTATATTTCTTTTAGATTAAAATTTACATAATATCAGATATGTGTAACAGGGAATCAGGCAACCTTTAATGATTTCTACTTTTGAATTGTCCTGTATAAATCTAGACTTTCTTCCAGACAAAACTCCAGATACATACTTACGCACAAAGCACAGTAAACGCTGAAAATCAGAATCCGTGCCTATATGCAAATTTGCACCTCTTACCTCTTGAGATTCCATCTTTGGACAAACTTTGTTTGTCTCCATGATAGTGTTTACCGTTTCCTATAGAATTTTCCTCTGAAAAGTGATGAATGCTGCCCTGAGACTGGGCTTCTCAAGTACAGGAGCTATGACTTCAATGCTTCTTGATTTCCCTGTAGCTGGCCTAGTGCCTGGCATATAAGTGCCACTCCAAAGTTTCGGGTGGAGAGAATGAATGTACATTGGCCTAAGCATACATATAGTCCTTGATTGAGCATCTTGTGGATGAATGCATTTTAAGTCCATTGTTGTCTATGTTATGCTGTTTTCACTCATCATCATAGACATAGGACCAATTTCTGTTTAGAATGATATTTCAGGGAATTTGTTAACTTAAGAATAACATTATTGAGTTTAAAGGAAATGTCCACTAATTATCTTTCTGTTAAAGAAAATCTAATGGACTTAAAAAAATAGAAAATTTACATACACACTCATGTACATATATAGATACAATACACATATAATCAGTACAGTTTTATCTAATTAATGTGATAGTTGATTATTACTGGCAAACTTCTGATTGTTTACTTACATGATTTCTGAATCAGAAAACTCTATAGCTTCAGACATACCAATATTCTTTGGTTAAACAGATTTTATTCTGTGTTTTTTGAGTATGCAAATATTTAGAATATGCCTCTGCAAATAAGCTCAAGAATTCTATCACAATGTAAAATTTTTTCTAAACTATGAAAATGTTCACATTACTGAAAATATAGAATGTTGTATAGCAGTGAATATCAATATCCTGAAAAGTGTGTAATGTCAAAAAAGTCTAATTTTATTAACATTTATCATCGCCTAAAAGCTAATTTCTTTCAAGCCTTGAATTTAAGAGTCTTTTCTATTATAAATGAATTATTGGGGGCTGGATCCTCTAAAATGAAATAGAAAAGCCAAGAAAAATCAGTGGGGAAAAAAATTCTCAACCAGTGAGAAAAAAAAATTGCCTTATATAGTAGTGTTGCTCGTGAACATGATTTAAATCAGGGTAGATGTGGATGTTATTAAAAGTGCTGCTCAGCCCAGGGTAGAAGGAAAACACTGAGCTTTTCAACAGCACCTAATACACTGAAATCATCAATTTAACCGAGATAAGATGAGAAAGAATTCTAACAAGACTGATGGCTTCCTGCTGTCAGGAAATAATAAGGAAAATAATTAGTGCTATAAACTGTATATTTATTTTGATCCTATCTACTTTTAATTAAAATATTAATTATTTCCTCAAATAAAATAGCAATTTTAACATGGAATGATTTTCTATGCATTAGATGAGGAATACCTAATATATTTACAAGAAGAAAAAAATGATAATCACTACTTACCACATCACAGGACCTTTCAATTATAACATATTCAGTAGGTTGGGCTGATTTCAATTAAAAACAGTTCACACAAAGCATAATTTGTTTTGTGGAGCTTGGATATGGATATTATTACAAGATTGTATTGTATTAGAACACATACTAGTGATGTCTTAGGAAGTCTGTAGTCTTGATTCCTTTCCTTAGAAGACTCTATTGGAAGACTTTATTCTACAAACATAACCAGCACCTGGAAGGCTGCTGCCCTAACTCATAGAGCTAAACAAGGGCATGAAAGTGAAAAGACACCCATTTCCTGCTCTTGAGGAGCCCAGAGGCTAGGGTGTAAATGGTAGATCCATGAATCACAGAGGTAGCTGAGTTGCCTGGGGGCCTTAGGGGAGCTAGTGCTGAAAGGTCTGCAGGGTTGAAAAAAGAGGAGGGGAGTTTCTCTGTCTTCCTTCCCTTTCTCACTGACTCAACCACATCACCAGCCACATCACCTCCTCTGGGAATTGATTGATAGCCTCCTCCCTGATTGTCCTGCTCCCATTTTCTTGGCACCTATACAGAGCTTCGATAATGCACTTGCTTCAGTGGAAATATGATTTTATTATTTCCCTGCTTAAAATTCTTCCCTGTCTCAATTAGAAGCAGTAGTTTATCTTCATCATAAAAAAATTCCCACTGCTTTTCATGCATTCAGAGAAAATCCTTTACATTTGGCTTCTGTTTGCATTCCCCACCTCATGTCTTGTCATCCTGTCACTTGTACCTGAAAACTTCCTGGATAAACCTCACTCCATCACCCCAGTTTTGTTTGTACCCTTCCCTTGAACCCTTTTTTGCTCTGGCTAATTCAGGTTTTCCGATCCTGCTAGGTATTATCTCCTCTACCAGCCAGGAGAGGGGGACACCTGGTACATTGTAACTTGGACAGTATCAAAGTTGTGTCTGTATTCAGACATGATTAAGAAGTGGATGTGCTTCTTTCTTGATCCATCAAGGTCCCCAAGCAGCCTTGTCTGATATTGTTTATGTTTAGCAGGACAGCACCAAGGCCTAGCTGGGAGAGCCAGGCCAACATCTGGGTGTCAGGGGCTACTTTTCTTGAGGCTGAGGAGAGAAATCCAGTGAGCAGACATTTGTTTTGGATTTCAGGCTTTATGACGGCTTTGGAGTCATAGAGAAGTGAATCAGGGTCTGTCTGTGTGACCTTACTGTGCAGAGATGCTGGCACAGAGGACAGGCTCAGTAAATCTTAAAGGGGAGGGATCTTGTTGGAACAAAGGTTTAGGCAAGACCAGCTGACATAAAATAAAAGTGTAAGCTGGGGTGTCGTAAGAATGGGGATATTTTATTTTTTCCCCTTAAACTTATCTGTATTTTCTAATTTCTTACAATGAACTTATAGTATTTGGTTATAGAAAAATAATACAAGTCCCCTACAAAAGTAAAGATATGAGTTTCTACTTTTGAGGGGGAGGACTAGATCTGCTTTGGCAGGTGGAGTGAATCATTTCTCAGGAACCACAGGAAAATTCTGAGCCTGGCTCTTAGCATGGTCTGGCTCTTAGCATTGTGTCATAATTATTTGTTTAAGTGCTCATTTCCCCCAAGTGGAGCTTTTTGAAGGCAGGAATCATGACTTAATTTTTTTTTTGTTTTCTTTAACATGTAGTAATACTTGGCATAAAACATACACTCAATAAATGCTGAATAATGGACTTAAACATTTTATAGTTGGAAACTCACTACCCTTCCTAAAAAATTTTTTTAAAAAAATCTCTTTTTTGGAATTTTTGCTGTGGGGCACTGTGAGACAGGGTGATACCAAAGCAATGTTTCTTACACTGACTTCAGTTGCAAAATGTGTGTATACTGCCACTTAAAAACCTGAAAATCATTCGCAGATTTTCATTGAAACTCTAGTGAATTCCCTCGATGCTCTTGGAACATAGACCAGATTCAGGGGCAATGATCTCAAGAAAGTTCACTTGACAAAACGTAAGTGGCAGGGTTAGAATCCAGATCTCAGGACTCATAGACCAGTGTTGATTCCATTACAACAAGTAAAAAAATTTAATAAATTAAATTTAAGCAATTAATCACTGAAAATCTTCAAGAACCATGACCTCAGTAAACAAGATTATCACTACTGCCTAAACTCCCTGAAAACCTAGGAAGGAATGAACCCTCTTTGGATCCCTTGAAAATAAACCACAAGCTGAATGCAAAAGCATCCCGTGTGAGGCTGCTGTGAGCACAGTCAGCGTGGCTGCTGCTGGTCTAGTTGTGTGTACAAATCACAGGCAAGGATGAGGCGGGGAGAATAATGGTGTGCGTGTATGTTCATGGGCCTGTGAGCTTCTTGGCATACCCTTTTCAAACACGCACATTGATTATTTAGCAAGGCCAGATGGCAGGCTTAGCGGCCTGACAGCAGTCATGCCCTGTAGTGCCCCCAAAGGGTGCATGCCATTTATAAGCCACGCTGGAATTCTCTGTTGTTGGGTTGATGGAAGTGGCTATAACCAAAGGCAAATGCTTTATGTCAGGAGGAAAGGGGTCAGGCTTACAGCTGGTGCAGAAAACCTTGGCTGCTTTATGCCAGCCTCAGCAGATCCTGCAGTTCATCGTCCTCAAAACAGTGAGTGGTAGAAAGTGAGCATGTATTCTTCAGGGGTCATTGGATCATGGTGGTTGAGAGTTTTCTTCTTCAGACCCCAAACTCTCTGGAATTTTTGAATCACTTGTATCAAGGGTTGGTCAGTTAACTTAAACTATGAGAGGAGAGGGAAATGTTTAATAAGTAAATTCATAGAGTGAATGCGGTATTTAATTTACTTAGATGTTTTTCAACACTGTAAGAGGACCTTTTAGGTCTTGGGTGTGGTTCAGTGACAGAGTGCTTGCCTAGCAGGCTTAAGACCCTGGGTTCAATCCCCAGCCACACCCTGCTATATGCACCAACCACCAAATAAATAAAAAGAAATTTTTAA